GCAATGCAAAATACAAAATGATTAATTTCTTGTCAGTAAATTGGCGTTTGTAAATGATATGTTTTTGAATATTTTTTAGCTTTTTAAAGTGAAAGTCTAGGTCTATACAATAGAATCTCTCAACAACACAAATTTAAGCTCATTTTTATAATCATACTTGCTCGAACAGCTTGATAAACAGTTGAATATTTAGTGTAAATTTATATTTCATTCAATAATTAAATAAATTATCTGTAGAAAGATATAAAATTATTGAATGAAAGTCTTCTTTGTTTTGCCGATGGGACTTCGGGATATAGGAGGTGAACAAAGCTGCATTTTTCTTGAATGAAATATATACGATAGTTGGTTAAAAATAACCGAATTGTTAAAGATTTACAAAGCTACATAAAGGACGAATATTTGTTGTAATGTGCTCTTCATGTTATATTTCATCCAGCATTAAAATAAATTAAGCTTTTTGGTCTATAACTTGTCCTAAAGCGATTTTTTCTTTGCATTTGAGAGCCGCATTTCAGTGTGAGTAGTTTTGCTTTGACATCGGCAAGCGGGATTCCTGTGTTGTGTACACGGACGGACGGACGGACGGACGGATGGACGGATGGACGGAAGTGACGTCAGCCAAACCGCGCGGGAGCTCCGCTAAAAACTTACGTCAAAAAATGGAGAAAATAGGCAATAAAGTAAACGCACCAACGCTTAACAGCGATCTTATATTAATTCCAATTTCAGTCACTGAATATAAAACACGCTCATTCGAAAATTTTATCTTTCTCTTGAAACCTCTAAAAAAATCGTTTTAGTATTGGACTGCTTGCGCCCGCATATTTGCAATTTGAAGTTGCATGGTAGCACGCGGATAAAACCCCATGGAGCAAGACATCATGGAGCAACCTTAAAGCTACCAGTATTCACGGCCATACTTTAGCACCTCCTACCTCATTGTTCTTTTGCAATTGTGTTGTAGTCTTTGAATATTAGTATTTCATATTGTTTAAAATTAGTACTTTTAATAACAAAAACCAGTTTCCTTGATAGCTTGTTGTATCTTTTGATGTTTTGCTGATTTTAAAGCCAGTTTGGTGCTTTTTTTAAGGCCCGTTTACGCAATCGATTTTATCGGCGAGTTGTAGCGTGATTTCCACTACGATTCTTGCGGCGGAACACGTGCGATTATAAAGCGCTTGTGTAAGCTACCGGCGATTTTTAGGTGATTTGAGTGGGGGATTTTCGCGCGATCTGCTGCGATTTTGTAAAAAATTTATTTCTGATCAGCGGTTTCTGCAATGGGCATGCGTACTTTCGTATATGGCATGTATACAATATGGCTGACTGCAACAAGCAGTATGAAGTTTCAATCTTTCTCAATTTGTCATCGAAAGTGACGATCTTAATGCTCTTTCCCCCCGTCTTATCTAAATTTTCCGCCATTGTTGACATAACAATTCTCCCTTGTAGGGTCCTCCAAGGGTACTTTTAGCTCTTGAAGCAGAAAAAAATCGTATATCATTTTCACCGCCAAAGCAGCCATTCACTAGCCTGCGTTGCAGACGTCCTGCGGGTTTCGGTACGTCTGCAACGGAGGCTAGCCATTCACCTCATACACGCGGTTAAGTTTTGGGAACACGAGTTTTGCCGTGGGTGTGATTAAGCTCACCGGACTGAACTGTTATAACGGAAAAAAGTCGCCGAAGGGGAGGTGGGTGGGGTCAAAAATCCGTCTAGACTGACTGGTACAGCGAACCTGAGCAAATGAGGTGGAAACCTTGGATTTTCTCGCTTAAATAGGCAACTGCCGACCAGGGGGCATTCATAATGCTTCTCGCCTAGGAATCATACCCAGAAAGTCATGCTAACGTTCCGCGCGTACTCGTTTCATGGCTGCTTTAAGGGTGAAAATAGGGGGTTGATTTAGATTGCCCTTCTGGTCCAGCAAGGCAGTAGATGGCCCTCCTGAATGGGTTAACGGTCGACACACGACCAGAATACGAAACGGGGTCGACACAGACCCGATCACGGATCAATTGGCCTTACGATCGACAAACTACCAGACAATAAATTTAGCCGAGCTTAGGGTCGCCACACGACCGAACTACTTAAACACGGTCGACACACGACCGAACAATTAATTTAGCCGAGCTCAGGGTCGCTGTCACAGGGATTTGTGTTCCCCCGAGTTATGTGTTACCCCGAACACTGGGCACTAGTGTTTTCGTGTTACCCCCTCCCCTTCCTTTGAAACATCTTTTGACACGATTCTCTCCCCCAGTTTAACTAAAGGCCAACACACGACCAGACCAACGAAGTATGTAATAGATAACATGCAGGGCTAACTCTCCCGGATAAACCGGGAGTCTCCAGATTTTGGACCGTGTCTCCCGGTCTCCAGATTAGAGTCTCAAATCTCCCGGATAATCGCCGAAGCTGACCATTTCTTGTGAGACTCGACTTTCACAACCATAAAATTCCAATTATTTTGTGTTGGTTGTGTTATTTTACATCGCTAACAAAATCAAAACATTCCTCTATAAATTGTTCTCGCAAACAGGCCATTGTAGTATAAGCGATAATCTGATTGGTCAGAAATAAACCAATCACATCAAATGTTACAAAATGAATGACGTCTTTTCGCGCGCTTTTGTCCGCTATGACGTCATGTCCCTTCCTTATCAATTCACCAGATTTGAATATCTTGGGGGTTGACAGCCCTGAGCATGTCATATATAACCCTTAAAATCTAACTAAGCCGAATCTACTAACGTGCAGGTTTAATAAATACGTAACAACTAATCAATATTATAACCGTAATAACTATGGTACAGCCATGACAAGCGAGTAAAGCGGTGACTACGTGAAAATATTAAAATTTGGGCTAAACAGGCTAAACAGTAAACACAAAGCTTGACTGAACTACTAGGGAAACTAAACCATGCAAACACACACGTGTCGGGGCCGAGGACATGAAAATATCAAACAGAACGAAAAACTAGAGTCCATGGCAAAGTGAACATGGACTCCGAAACCAAAAATGGGGCTGAACTGAACTACGACCAAACACACATGCACGGCCAAATAGATCTTAAAACGATGCCAAGAATCGAGCGAAGCCGTAAACATGACGTGAAACAATCACATAATTACCTCGACGACTGTTGGTACTGGACGACATTGTTGTATAGGGAAGCTTCGGCGACGTTTGTACGAAAAAAAACAAGGAAAAAATCCGTGTAGACTGACTGGTACAGCGAACCTGAGCAAATGCGGTCGGAACCTTGGATTTTCTCACCTAAATAGGCAACTGCCGACCCGGGGGCATTCATAATGCTTCTCACCTAGGAATCACACCCAGAAAGTCATGATAACATTCCGCGCGTACTCGTTTCATGGCTGCTTTAGGGGTGAAAATAGGTGCGTATAAAATCTACAAAGATATAAAAAATAAATACATAGTTCCTATAATAAAATGTGAAGTATTGAAACCAATAATCCTAAGAAATATGTAATTAATTAAATTCTTTCAAAAGAGCTTATTTGAATACACTCAAGTCCTTAAAATTTTTAGTCCTTTCGCTATAGTATTCCGGTCGTCGACCGCTCGAGCCCATTCGATAATGGCCCCACTTTCGATTGCTCGTAGCCGTCAGAAAGGTTTCAATCGACTGCTGGGTTCAGTCGTTGGTTCATTTGTTAGTAGTACGTTTGCATAATGGCGTGATTGACGTCTACTGCCAGACTCCCTTGCACACTTTCTTTTGTTCAGTTCATTACAACCAATTGTCTTACTATTCTCGATGAGGGAATACGAATTTGAATAAGAAAGAAAATTCGCGCAGCATTATGGTATTCGGAGTCAAATTAAATGACGCCATCATGCAAATATCCTATTGAAAGAACTGGTTTTTTTTCCCTTCAGTTTTTTCGTTACGATTAATTTACCGAGAAGCTAAGAGCCGAATAATTTGGTTTTTATCAAGATAGTAAATAACTAATCCAGCATGGTGGCAAAATTATCGGGGAGGGGGAATCCGTGGTCCCTAATGTTGGCTGCTCCAAACGTTGATATGATGGGTCATTACATTGATTTCAGCGGGATTTTAATGCCCAATACCCCAGCCACTGCGCTAGCTGGGGCATTTATAAACCCTGGGATAACCGGTTTTACGCCCGCAGTTTTGCCCAATAGGTGTTACCAGTTAGTTTTGGAAGAGTCTAATTTATTTGGGGAAATTTTCAGGTTGGTCGTCTTCAAGAGACCAAGGAGATTTAGGGAGCATATCTCAACCGTGTTCTTGATTTTGTTAGCGGGACGAACATTTTTTTATCTCACGGGTTAAATGCGTTTAATCTAAAAGAAACAGTCATTTTATCGTCCATGATTCCAGCTATTCTTCATTATCAAGAGGCCGTCCGCCTCTTCAGCCTTTTTCGAAATAGTCTATCATGACTCTATGATCCATGCTGGAATGGCTTGTGCTCTTCTCGTCAATAAAACAAAAGTTATTGTGGAGCTGGAGTGCAAATGCTAAGAGAGTGCAACTTAAATAATACTAAATTTTGCTAAAATATGCTAGAGTGCATGCCATGTATCTGTGAAAAAGTTAACTAACAAAATTGTATAAATTACTGTAAAGTTTTGTAGGTCTACTGAACTTACTAATTTTCGCAAATTTGTGCAATTCCTTACAAAGTATTTCACGAATATATGGTATGCATTCTACCATCACTCTACAACTTAAATATATAGAGTTTAGTGTGTTTGTCATATTTATTTTAAATTTGTTGTAGAATGATTTTCATAAATCCGTGAAATACAATTCAGCTACAATTCATACAATTCAATTATTTTGTTTTCACGGGTTTATGAAAACCTCTCCGTTTTCTTGTAAGGAGATGTTAATATCAATCGACGTCATTACTGCAACAAAGCTTTATTGCTTACCATCAATCACGTAACTTTTTGTAGTTGACTGGGGGGCAAACAAGCGGTTGACTGAGGGGCAACTAGCGGATATTAAGTCAAAATAAGTCCTCAACCTATTGTAGTTGACTATTTCTACGACATGAAACCAGAAAACAAGAGATCAAAACAACCTCCATGATTCTAAAAGCCATTAAAAATGCAGCTATTACCGGAAGTGACGTCTGATTGATAAAAACCTATTTTGTCCCCTAGACGCCCAATAATGCATTGCGATCCAAGATGGCCACCGTATGGACGAATTAATCCATTCATAGTGCAAAGTATAGCACGCATTTAGTGTTTTGTTTTAGAAGTATGCCCACAGTTTCTTTCCGATCTTGCACTAGCCAATCACCAATCGCCATCCACCTTTGCCCCTTTATAAAAAAGCTATACATTAAGACTGGTTGGATGTTTGCCAAACGAAATAGAATGCTACTGGAGTGTACATAAGAAGAGCCAATGACCTTTCGAGTAAGTTATGTCATGTAGGTGATTCCACTAGGTGTATGGAAGAAACGTAGTTTTCTAGTAGGGTTTGTAGCGGTTGCCTGACAATGGATAATTGTGTCCCTGAGAAGAAGAAGGAAAAAATAAATAAATAAAAAAATAAAGAAAATTAACTCAACACACAATACTCCAGTTTCAAATCCTCTGTTACTCAGCGATAGTCTAGATTTTGTGTAGAATAGTTCATGTGTTCCAGTTAAGGTCCATGATATACTAAGTATTTGTATTGTCGAAGTTCAGCACTCTTTGCTTTGTTACTGGTATTTGTGAATATTTTGACGAAGAAATTAGGCTAACCCTGAGTAAATGAGTCTATAGACAAGGCGGAAAACACACACACACAGATGAATATAGTTTAGTTCCTTACCCGATTTCCTCGTCCTGTAGGATGCTGTTGCCTTTGTTGCTGTCCTTGTCCTTGGTACCGACTTTGTCCACCATAGCTAGGACCAGGCCCCAGCAACGACGACTGACTGCGATTGGACTGGTACCCATAACTACCTTGGTTATACTGATTTCTGTTTCCTTGATATGACTGATTTCTGTAATTGTCCTGATATGGACTTTGGTTACCATGGTAACTGTTTCCATAGCTACTGTTTCCATAGCCTGCACTACGCTGATTGTACTGATAGCTTCCCCCGCCATAACTACTACCACGCTGTTGATACGGAGGGTAGCTTTGTCGACGGTCGTTGTAACTAGACCTTGGTCCTGCGCTTTGCCGTGAATATCCTTGTTGATGTCGGTCGTTGGTATAATGACTACCGAGAAAAAAAAAAAAAAAAAAAAAAAAAAAAAAAAAAAAAAAAAGAAAAGAAAAGAAAAAAGAAAACTGTTAGTTCTTTTTTAAATACGTTAATTCTAATTTTCTAGAGTATTGCCAAGGCATTCAAAAAGGCATTACTCAACAGCACAAATAAGCAATGGTTCCGACTCAGACAACAGCGAACCAATCACCGTTGCAACAGTTTTCCCAGTGGAATTAAAATCTTGTCAAACAAACAACTATTCAATATCTGGTTTAAGGAGTACTAAGAGGAATACCAGGCAATTTTCGTCTATTTTCACAGGACAGAAAACAATTGACATAATTTATGATCAATTTTCAGCGACCAGATTTTTTATTCTGAGATATTCTAGCTAATTTATTGATCTAAATGAATTCAATTGACAGCGAAACAAAAATGGGTTTAAAAAAAGTCATAAAAACGTAGTTTAGATGTGATTATTGGTGTTACTAACTTGATCATTCTATGGCCTGGCGGTGCTATGGATGCATATGACTGTCTGTTGGTATTCATACCAATAACTGGCCTCCAAGGCTTGTCGTTACCAAAGTCACCAGGTTTAAGGACGCGGGCTGGAGGTCTGTCGAAACGAACGGATCGAGTTTTAGTTTTTGAAAAATTGAATAAATATTGAGGAAGGAGAATGCTAATGAGTGGACAGGGGGGGAGCGAAAGGTCTAAAAAAATATCAGAGGAATGGGGTTTGCATATTACGACGTTCTAGATAGACCCTTTTAGGTTGTGCGTAATGTTTTCCCATTTCAGAACACTTGTCATTCTCTAGAGTATCATTTCTTTGTTAGACGGTTGCGCGTGAGAGAACACATGAAAATGGATACAACGCAGCCAAAAAATCTTATAAAGTCAAGAGAATGACACGTGGTCTGAAATTGGAAAACATTGTGCCTAAGGTAAAGAGGTCCATATAGGTTTTTTTTCTCTTTATATAATCTCTTTATTTTTGCGCTTAGAGCATTATTTTTGAATAAGCGCATTATAAATGTATATTATTATTATTATTATTATTTAATTATTATCATTAATGGAATGTATATTCTCATCATTACTATTACTAGCCATGTTAGATGGCAGGAACAACACAATTGTTTTACAGAAGAAAGAATTTAATACCCAAGAGCAAAGGGATTTTATTGTTCTGCCATCTAACCACAGGTAGTCCAAGTTGTTTTATGGGCGTGGGCACGTGATGGTGCAAAATCTCTATCGATATGGACAATACGACAGAATCACTAATTGTCTCACGTGATATACTCACACAGCATTGGGTAGAGTAGCGGTTTTGAACGTATATTCGTCAGAAAAGAAAGGATCTTCATAGAAAACACTAGAAAACGAAATACAAATTAATGACAAAACAACAAATACACGAAGGGTCAATATCCGAAGTGGAATATGAATATGAATACTTTTTCTATTGGTGATCCTATTGCTGTTACTCTTTAAGTCCCTGTTACACGCTGAAGCTTTTCGCTGAAACTTGTGTGAAACACTACAGTGAGACAAGTTGCACAATTGAAGGAATCCACCGTGTAAAACCCTCAGCTTCGTGAAACTTTCACTGCGAGAAAGCTTCAAAAAAAAAAAAAAAAAAAATACTCCTTTCTACTCGTGCAACCGAAACTTGTGTCGCGAACAAGTTTCACAAAAATATTGCGACGTGTAACAGCCCTTGAAACTTTCTCCGACATGCCCTAGTAAACAATCCAATCAGAGACCAACATTCCCAGTGAGCAGGTAACATAAACATGGTCGATGATAATGGTTTCACACTGAAAACTGCGCCGTGTAACAGCCCTTGAAACTTTCTTCCACATGCCCTAGTAAACAATCCAATCAGAGACCAACATTCCCAGTGAGCAGGTAACATAAACATGATGGATGACAATGGTTTCACACTGAAAAATGCGCCGTGTAACAGCCCTTGAAATTTTCTCTGACATGCCCTAGTAAACAATCCAATCAGAGCCCAACATTCCCAGCGAGCAGGCAACATAAACATGATGGATGATAATGCTTTCACATTGAAAACTGCGCCGTGTAACACACCGGGGAGGACACAAGGCGGATTCCAGGCTTCACTATCGTGAAAGTAAGCTAGCATAACAAGTAAAGTGTTACGGCGCAGTGCATATTCTCGTCAAGATGAGTAAATTCCGACCAACAAAAGTCAATCGCCGACAGGATTTCTTTAAATTTTGCAAAAATATAGAGATTTTTCAATAAATAGTAAATATTATTACTAGGGCATTCGTCAGTTTGTTCAGTACTCACCTTATTGCTCTGTTATCTTTTAAGTCATATTGTCCTGGTATCGGTGACCGAACAACACTATAAAATAACCAGAACAATTTTTTAGTTACCTTCCAAAGTATAGWCCCCTTGCAGGACGGTCGCATCGCAGCTCAATTTGGAGGACATCAACGTTGCACAAAATGTCAATGTCAGGTAATACGCCCCTTGGAGACGATGTTCGGATCCCTTAACACGCGTTGTCAGTTCTCTTTGAATGATCATTGCGCTGACTCAAACACCAACACGAATTTAGAATTAACTCACCCTTGTGGAAGAACCGTCGTTGCGCACTGTCCTATGCAATATAAGCTTTTCTGCTATTTTGCTACTGTCGTTATTGAAAGCGCGTGCGGAATCTTTATCGCGACGAAGAAGGCTTTGATAAATGTCAATCAAAGCGTTTCCATAACTTTTCATACGCACGTGCCCTTGAAAACTTTGTGTTTTCCGAAAATGTTACGGTATTTTGATTGAAGTCCATCTAAACCCTATTCAGCGCGTGCTATTGTGAACTGAGAACAACTGGCCATCAAGGTAATAGATAAATATCACCTAAACCTCTTTACATTCGTTGTTTGTTGTGTCATTTCAGACCACGTGATGGCACTCTTGGGAGTTGATTCTCTCACATGTAAATATTTTAACATGTTCGTCATAAAAGAACAATTCTCAGGGGAATGTCATATGGTCTGAAATGGGCAATTTGCATACGAAGCTAAAGAGGTCTATATAACAGTTTCTTGGTTATAAACTCACGTGTTTGGTAATATGGGCCGGTCATCTTCTGGTTGTACTTTACCAGACATTCCTTGAGCCAGATCGGGTACCAGATCAAGTGGCTTAAAATAAAAAATAAAAATCCATTATTTCTCACTGTTTGTCTGCCCTCTACACATCCCTCTGCCTCACCATAAAACATATGCACATCACAAAAAAACTACATCCTATGACCCCCTGAAAACATCCATGGTGCATGGCCATGTATAGTTTATCCATAGTTGATTATTAATAATTAGTATAGGAAATCGCACGATCTCGAATACAATTTGGATTAGTCCCCTTGACATTTCCCTGCGCCATCTTGAAAGGTAGCCTTGCAATGATAGAAACCTTTTTTTAACAGTTCGGACAATTATTCACATGTCTCTATCATTGCAAGCTCACCGTTCATCTCACTTTAATGCAAAGGCACGGCAACCTTTCGAGATGGCCCAGGGAACTGTGAAAGTTTTTTGTGTTTTGTTTTGAAAGTTCTCAAAATTGGACGAGCCTTACATCACGACTATCAATTCCGAATTGTACGAGAAGATTGTGCTATTTTTGTTCACGACTATCAATTCCGAATTGTACGAGAAGATTGTGCTATTTTTGNACGACTATCAATTCCGAATTGTACGAGAAGATTGTGCTATTTTTGTTCACGACTATCAATTCCGAATTGTACGAGAAGATTGTGCTATTTTTGTTTATAATTTATTCAACATTCATTGAGCAACTTTATTAGAACTCTACAGAGAACAATTTGGGATTTAATTGTACTCCTCCTGTCCAATCAGAATTGAATAATTTTGTTGAATGTATTATATTTGTCCCTATGGGTTTTGAGGCGTTTTCTTTCATATTCTTCTGTTAATCTTGTCCTCCGGCTCGGGCAACAAGCAACTGTACTCGAATGCGAGTTTGGGAATAGAGGTTTTACACCATCACGTGCCGGCGTCCATAATCCAGCTTGAACTGCCTGTGGTTGGATGACAGAACAATTAAATCCCTGTGCTCTCGGGAATTGAATTCTTTCTCATGTAAAACGATTGTATCGTTCCTGCCATCTAACATGGCTGCCGTCACATGATGGTGCAAAGCCTCTATTCATCCTGGGTCGCACTGGTGAAAGATGAGTACTGTCACGCACTTATAGAGCATTTTCACTCACGTAACAAGGCATCCATATTGGTGTACCAAACAATAAAAAACTTTATGCACAGTTTTTGGATGAAAATAGAAATCAATTCCCCGGAGGGTAGAAAATGAATAAGACTTTTCATAGTTTAAGAATCGATTCGACTGCGCATGCGATTTTATCCCGAATTTCTCACCTTCTTTTGTTTAATTAAGAACAAAAGAAGGTTTAGACAAAAGAAGGTGAGAAATTCGGGATAAAATCGAATGCGCAGTCGAATCGATTCTTAAACTATGAAAAGGCTTATTGTTTTGGTATATCAACATGGCAGCTGTGACGTCAAGTGAAAACGCTCTATTAGCCGTTCCGAAGTTGCAGAACGCGTTGCATCATGGGACTGTGGTAGGGGACAATTTATTATTTATTTTACGGCGTCTTTTTTTCTTGCTGTCAGTGAAAAGCGAAAGAAAACTGATAGAAAACTTTAACTGCCGTTTTAATTTTTACATTCATTTCGTTTCTTGATGCATAAAATATCAACTGATTAATAAAACGTCCCCCAAACACAGAAGAACATAATGCAATATTTCTACAACTCTTGAATGGCTAACATTCCCCACCCATGTTTCCCGATAATTGTATTATTACAAGTAAGAGCAGCCTACAGTCCATCTGTTGCTAGGCTATTTTAAAAGCTGCATCCTTTTAAATACCTCTTTAGCTCCTTCTCCTTCGTACAGACCTGTTAAAAAGTCAAATGCTGGATTGCCTTGTCGTAGATACAGACGGTCCTTTCCAAGAGAATTACGCTTAGCTGTAGAATTGAAAATAAAATGATCAACAAACCAAGAGAGCATAAATATGAGAGGGAAACTTCTAATCTTAATAACGCGCGCGCCATGTAAATTCCCGGTTGGGCTATTTTTAGAAACCGGATGCAAGTTAAATTTAGCCTTACACTACTCCCGTGCGTCGTCGACTTGCGCACTTGCGTTCTTTGCGTTTATTGTTTTGATCACTAAAATCTCCACTTTTCCTTTTTCTTTTCCTTTTTTTTTTTGTTCGTTTAGAAGGTAAATCTCCAACACACTCCCCTCTAAAGACTTCTAAAAACCACTCACCTTCTTGCTCAGTAATGTCTGGGTACACCTTGGCGAGAGCATCTAAGAGACGCTTCTCGTCGACAAATGGCAGAAGAGCAACTCCTGAAAATAAAAAGTTAATTGTGCTAAAACTGCAAGAAATGTAATACTAATTTAATACCAATCTATGAAATTCTCTGGATTTGAGGTTAAAGATTTTTTTGGGAAAGAGAAGTAGTCATAAATGGTCAGTCCTTAGCCTTAAGATTAATTACACGTTGAAACTTTTTATAAAAAGCTCGAGTTTTCTACTCTTGCAATCGAAAATTGTAGCGAACAAGTTTCACAAAGCCTAAATTGCACCGTGTAACACCCATGTGAAACTTGTCTCGCAACGCAACACCTTTCAGCTAAATATTTCAACGTGTAACAGGGGCTTTAGTGTATTTATGTTATCTTAGCTGTATGCAATTGGTTTGATTTAACGTTGGTATCAACAAATGCTGTAATAAGCTACGATTCAGTTTAGAATCGAGGTTGACGTAACGGCAGTGCATTCACCTCTTACATCTTGGCAGGGGCGGATCCAGGAATTTTAGAAGGTGACTATTACGAAGGTTTTACCAGGAACCAGACATTTGAGAAAATGGGGGGTGACTAGTCACCTATTTTACCACCCCTGGATGCGCCCCTGCTTGGGTGTGGTTCTATTGCTGGACCTAGCCTCACATGTTAGTGGTTTACAAGTACAGAATAAACAAAAAAGGAGCATGAAAAAGAAACGTGTGTGTGTGTTTGTCGAAGTAGTAAAAACTTTCGAGTCGACAGCCACCGAGGGTGATTTAGGTCTTTCGAATCAAGGGAAAGACCTTTACAAACTCAACGGTTTTACATTACGTGTCATAACTATTATTGTAATTTATATATTTTTTGAGTCTTTCAATTTGCAGCTGCATAAGTTGCTTATACTTCGAGGATCAGCTCAATTTGTTACATTACAATCGCAGTACAAATATATATTTCATATATATTATCATACACATATGTATCCCCTATCGGGCCGATAAACCCACGTCATGTGTCTTTGAAGTCTCTTATGAGACTTGGCAGCTCAGCGCTTAGAGCATGGCACCGGAATCGCCAGGGCACGGGTTCAAATCAATTTTTTCTGAGTCTTTCAATTTGCAGCTGCATAAGTTGCTTGATATACCGCGAGGACCAGCTCAATTCGTTACATTGATACACGAAAGTTCAAGTTCAAGTTCCAAAACCACTTTATGCAATCTGTCCCCCTACCCTCCCTCCCTGGAGTCAAGGGCACCTCACCTTGCCAAGCGTACTTCTTTCCATTCAAATCAATCTGGAAATCGATAGGGTAGAAATCGATAATAGGCGATTCCTAGAAAAGTCAAGAACAAACACAAGTGTTATAAGAGGATCAAGTCATAGTAGAGTCCTGCTATCTCGAAATTGAGTCTGCGTCCCGTGGCCTTGAGTCACGCACTACAATTGTACCCTGGATATCTCCAAACCTCATTAATTCAAACATTTTCCCTAGGCGCGGTTGTGTATGGTGGCATGGATAGTGTTGTCCAACAGATAAATGTTATCCAGTGGATAAATTTATTGGATAACAGCATCGACTTATCCACTGGATAAAGAATTATCCACAGAATAGCGCTATCCCTCCTTACAAACGCGCCCAGGTCCTCAGGAGGTTCGAGATAAGAGAGGTCAATGTTTCCCTTCACTGAGATTGGATAAGATTCATTCATCTGATTGATACCAGGCAGCTGAATTAATATAGCAAGGCAAACAACAGTCTCTTACAGGATTGGACATTAGATTTCTCCATGTCGGAGGCAGGAAGTTTCCACTTGCAGCGGGGAACACACCCATCAGCTGTTCCAGCGGCTTAAACTAAAACAAACAAACAAATTATAATAATCCAGTTAACAACAGACTATGACTACCTATTTATCGATATATTGATAGAATGTTCGATGTGCATTGGCAGGGAGGGGGTTATTCTTACCAATTAAACCCTTTTCACTCAAATACCAAATAACAATAATTCAGAAAGTCGGATGAGAGGAAAAGATATGAGGTAGAAAAGGTCATTCAGTGAGGCTATCATTTAACCACAAGAAAGCCAAAGGGCGCAGCTTCAAGCGCATATATCACCTTGACACGAGTGAAAAACGTCTGCGAATGCTCTGAATCCGTATGCAAATTGTTTCTTTTGATTTTATTTCAGTCATTGTCTTATAGTATTCATTATTGATCAGGTATTAGTTACACACTGACATATATATAAATAACGATTCAAGCTTACTGGCTTTGTTCCTCGTTCAAATGTAGATTTGAGTCTTCCAATGTCGCGGAAATCAGAAGCAAAGGGAGCATAGTGGTAAGGATAATACCACTTCCACGATGGACATCCCTGGTAGTAATACTGTAACACCCAGCAAAGACCCTCCACATAAGCATCAGCCTGGGTTAAAAAAAACACATGCAATTTGTCAAGACTTAAAACAACGGCCGGTAAGTCGTCGGTCATGTTGACAGGCCAAATTAGTTTTAGCTCGGTCATACCTCGTTTCTGGCTCAACGTTATGTTGTTGACAGGACAGGTTCAAATTCTGGGCGGACATTGTCCGATGTCCGGCCACGGGCCGTTATTATATATATTTCTTTATATTATTATTATAGCCCTATTTGTTAGTCAACTAAGGCCCCATTCACACTAACGCATTTTCGAAACACTCCGTTTTTGTCTCCGATTGAAAACGCAACGAAATATTCGTGTCCAAGCAAGCGTTTTTATAGCGTTTCCAAAAACGCAGATACAATCGGAAGTGACTTGTGACGCAATATTTTCATCTGCGCAAGCGTAAAACAGACAAAATGACGTCAGTGTTTTCAAAACAGAGACTCCGTTTTCACTGACCAGACTAATACGATAGGCCTCCGTTTTCAAATACCTCCACTCTGGAGAGTGTTTTCAAATGTATGCGTTTTCGATCGTTTTATCGTAAACGCAATTGAAAATGAAAAGAATCCTCCATTTTCGAGTTCTCTCAGTTTCTCGCTCTCAGTCTTGGTTGTGCGTTATACTATTCAGCTAATTAACCAAAACCCTTGGCATTTTAATCAACTCGTATTGTTTCGCAGTACGTACATTCCCTATTATACTATACGTACTGAACGCATTTGTACCAAATGACCTCGTTAGCTTGGCCGTAATCTCTTCCCATTTCAGACAACGTGTCATTCTCTTGAGAATAAGATTCCTCTGTTCTAGTTGTATCCATACTCGTTTGTTCTCATGTGCAACCGTTGAACGAAGAAATAATACTCTAGGGAATGACACGTGAGCTGAAATGGGAAAACATTACACCCGAGGTAAAGAGGTCTATCGAGGCTAAGAATGAGCAAATGCGAACTCGAAATTAAAAGAAAAACTGAGTGTCTTTTTTCGAGAGGTATTTATTGTACTAGCTTACCACTTTTGTCCTAAAGTCTTCATAGCTTTCATCTGCTTCACTGACACCAAACTTGTTGGTATAATACCTCTCTTTCCATCCATCTTCCCATAACCTAGAAAATTGTTACAATCGACAATTATATACAGATATTATTCACCATTATAAAATAACTGTTATGAATGTCGCGTTCTGATTGGTTTGGAGCGCGTGCTTTATGAGAGCACATTGCACGCGCGCGCACTTTCCGTTGCGTCATTCCTATCTAAAATAAATAATAAATAAATATAAATAATATGTATTTTATAAAAGAAATAAAAAACTTGTTTGCAGTGCTGTGTGCCGTTATAAAGCACTTGGGGATTGGCAGAACACTCGAGAGGTGTCCAGAAGCACTCTCCCTACGCGTCGTGCTTCTCCTAACACTTCTCTCGTGTTCTGCCAACCCCCGCGTACTTTATGACTGCACACAGCACGCGCGCGCGTTTTCTATTTCTTCAATACTCCTATCATATGGAGATATACACTAAGCATCTTTTATGGAATAACTGGCCATAACTATTATAAATCTTGAAACTTTCGCGAACTGTGATTGGTTCAAATGGGTCACGTGGAGGACGGATATCAGAAGATATCCCCCGTCAGAAGTGATATCTGTGTGATATAAACCTTGTGTGTGCAGTTATGAAGCAGTTTAGAATTGGCAGATAACACCTAGTGCTTCTTCTAACAGTTATCTCATGTTCTGCCAATCTCTGCGTAATTTATATCAGGGTTCGTGCTGAGGTAACCACTTAAAATTTAAGGACTATTCAAGGAGTATACAAGGACCCAAAAATGAATTTTCAAGGAGTATGTTCAGCTAAATATGACAAGGTTTTACACAGGGGTTGCGCATGGCCGACTTTCAGATTTTCCAATCTTTCTGGCTAGATCTATTTCAGAACCATACAAGCAATGATCAAAGCAAAAATTCAAGGAGTTTTCAAGGAGTTTCGCTAAAATCGTAAAGTTCAAGATCTTTTCAAGTGCCCTTGAAAACGTGAATTAAATTCAAGGAGTTTTCGAAGAGCTTAAGGAGTAGCACGAACCCTGTTTAACTGCACACAACTATTGTGCCCGTTTTCTATTTCTCCATTCAATCAAGGAAGATGACATATGATGAAATGGGAAAAACAACAAACAAGTACATGTAGATCATCACTATACCTGATGTTATCAGGTGGATCTTTCTCCTCGTCATCATCTTCAAGCTTTCTTTTGTTACTCTGTGCAGACGTGGATGGATTGTCTTGGCTACTACTTGAACTAGCCTCACCCTGCACAACAATAGCGATTCAAGATATTCAAGATTATGCCCAGACAACCTACTCAATAGACCCCTTGAATGTGACGTCAAAGCAGCTCAATTTGGATGACAAAACAAAAGAATTTCAATCTCCTGAGAAATGGAAACCCATTGTTATGTCCTCCAAACTGAGCTGCAATCCGAGGTGCTGCAAGGAGTCTATACCTGGACTAACTTAAGAAACGTTTGTCTATTTTTGATGTGCATGTTACATCATACCCGTCATGTTGGTTGACTATAGAATACGAAGCATTCCTCATTAGCTTCTTTTGTTTGACCAACCAAGACGGCGGTCGTTTCAATGTTATTCATATCTCAAGGGATTTTGAGTCATGTGGTTGCAC